GACAACGTTGCTTTCATTTTCATTAAAATATAGTTGTTCGGTTGTTATTCTTTTTTTGCCTTTTCGGTATTATAATGAAAATAAACTTAATATAACCATTCTAAATGTCCATATTTTATTTAATACGAACCGAGAACAAAGAATAACTCGCGATCTCACCATTATTGCGCCCCTTCATATTCGCACCATTATCACAGTCCTGCCCCTCGAACAAATGTTGAGTCCCCAGTGTTCCGTTTTTAAAACCAATATGGATTTCTTTAATTTCAGCTATACCTAATGCTTATAAAAGAAACTTTTATATCTGATAATATTTTTATATTGATTATTTTATTAGTAGATAAATCAGTTTTACATTTTTTTAATCGGGTGTATACCCTATCACCGCTCCTTTGACTCCTATAGGGAATGTGGTCGCTTTCCAATGTGTCATTTGAAGCAATCTATTCTGAAAGTAATGTAAGCTGAGCCAAACATTAAATCAATGCTAAAAAGTATATTTGCGAAAGATGCGGATGTTGGAGAGCCATCCTTCCACAGGTGATAAGCATTTAAATCGCCCAGTAGAATAAAATTGTTAAAGTTTTTCATTTTATCAGTTAAACAGAGCCATTGACTGTATTACATCCGACATATGAGTCGAATTTCCGTAGCATATCCGCATTACTGTTAATGGCACTCCTGTTTCAACTGATTTAAATTAAGTCTTATAGTATCATATAATATGGATTTTTTAAAAAGGATTGCGATGTTACCACCTTTAATTGTGATCAAGCAAAGATTAAATCTCAACAATTGATAATCGCTTTTAGATATTAAAATTTAATTAAATCAACATTGGTTTTTGGGCTTGTAGTGTTCCACTGAAGAATTATAATACTATTTTTATTCATAAAAAAATGAGTTTAATTAAATTAGTTTAGGTACATAAACATAAGGTAAAATAAGAAAATAAGTTGAAGTATAGTTGAAGCGGCATCTACTAGTTTTGTTGTAAAATATCGCTCTACCTTCTAAAGAACTCTGTATTTATATTTGTGTATTTAAATACGTTGTCCTGGTAACCAGTTGAAATATAGGAGTCAACTAATACTAAGAAATGTCAAAAACCTTTCTCAGGTGCTTTTTCAGTTTGATTTTTTTATTCTCTAATTTAATCGCTCCTATTGGAAGTTGCTTCCCACGTCTGACTTAGTGTAAGAAACTAATAAGAGTGAGTATGCAAAGTAAAATAGATTAACCAACCAAATATTGTTTTGGTACTTTTTAAAGAAAAAATATCATTCCCCTCAAAATGAAAAAGAATTTGTGAAGAAAAATTCACCTAGGTTTATACAGGATATGCATATTCATATAACTTTTATCCGTAAAAAGATATGTACTCCTAGAGATCTTATTCATTATAAATTTCCTAATGTCTATGGTAAATATAGCCTATTTTATGGTTTTAAATGGAAAAAGTTCATTTTCCAAAACAGATATTTACATAGTCTTAATTAAAAAGTAATAAAGTATGCTTTTCTGTGTATTATTAACATTATGATATTGAAATGTGACAACGTTTCTGAGGATACATCTATGTGAGGTTAAGGCCACGCAGTATAAATGTGGCATTCAGTTCTTGAAATATTTATTCATCACAATTACACAAGGTGCCTCGCAATAGATTTAGAATTTGAAATTGAAATATTTCTGCAACCGTTATGAGAAGGGAGGGATGAGAGGGAATATAGTTCAACGCGGCATTTGTGCAGACTTTTTAATAACGACTTTTGAATAACAATCGGCCCATTTTTCTTCGAAAATTCCCTTGTAGAAACCATAACTGTTACGACATTTGTACAGTTGCATAATAAATTAATATTTTGTATTTTATACCAATACTTAAACTGTAGATACTAATCGTATAGTCGGCACATGTAGTCCCAACAAAATGGCGCTACACCTCTCACAGTGACAAATACCGTAAACGTTCTTCGCGAACAATTCCCCAAACTAATTAGTCAGTTTGGAAACATCCAAAGATACCTACATCGCCAGATTTCACCCCCATGGACTTCTACAGCTTGTAACAGTAGATATCTGACGGTCAATCTTTGATTGCAACATAACTGACGTATTGGAACTAGACAGAATATTGTCGATGAGTTCCGAGAATGTGCACGCTATGCCGCGAAGAAAAACATTTAGATGACGTAATCTCTAAAAAATAGAATCCACAAGTTTAGCAAATTGGTATCGACTTTCGCGGCCAATAGACTGATGCTGTTCTGATTCGAATCAAAACGACATCGTGTGTTGGAGTTGCTTCCTAACGTTTCGTTAGCACGAGTCCGTATTCAGTGTCGGAGATGGAAGGACCTCTGAAGATGCTCGCCACTCGTGCTAGCGAAACGTTAGGAAGCAACTATAACACACGACGGCCTTTAGACCCGTATCAGTCCACAAGTTTAGTTTTTCATTTGATAAACAATAAGTAGATACATAATATTTTACACTTCATTTTTAAATCTTAAATCTGTTATGGGACACCCTGTAGGTGAATAAAGTAGAAATTAAAAAGCGTTTACTAACCAGTTTAGAATAGATCATACCAATCATTTAAATTTTAACCGAAATTAAGAGCTTTTTCAATTTATTATTGTTATGAAAATGTTGGGTCGAAAATATAATGGTAGTATTCTTAATGGCAGTTTAACTTATATTTGTAAATATAGCAAATTAAAATATCAACTTTGTAGAAATTTCAAATTATTAAACACAGCCGTATATTAGTATCGCAATAAAAAAGAGAAATCATCTTAATAGATACAATTAATGCCTTATGATTACGTTATTGTCTGTCATAACTATCTTAATAAGTAATAGCTGATTTTAGAAGAACTGAAAACGAGTAAACTAGCAATTTATTTAAATACATTTTTTTGTCATTAAATAATAGTCCATAGAAAATAAACAAACTTAGGGGCAGGCGTTCTTCAAATTTTACACTTGGTGCTAGTATCATTTAAAGTCCACCATTGAGCACAATATTAATGATTCTACTATTACCTAAAAGTATAGTTATTGGAAAATATCTGGTTAGAATAATGGTTTTTATTATTGTCAGGNAAAATTAACGGAAGATGAAGGTTGTAGCATTAAATTAACACCCTGTATCTTTTTACATAGCAAAATTTTATTAAGGCATATTTGACCCAATCTTCATATTCTGTTCCAAATAATTTGCACATGATCTATGTCCCAATAATTTTGACTCATCTTCTATACGTACATATCAATCGGAAGCACCAATGCCTACTAATACTACTATTTATCCCTAAAAATCATAGTCATGGTGTTATCATCCAAAAGAACACAACGGAACATAACCTAACCTAACCTAGACAACATTTTCCTATTAGGTCAAACCAGGTTAGTTTATATTAAACTTAGGTTAGTTTACTTTAGTTTCTTTTCCATGATAACTTGGTGACCTTTAAAATGGGGAGGCATTGATATTTTTTTATTGATATAAATTATAAAACAAGCGCCTCTCCCACCTTAAAACGTCTGATTCTACCCCAAAAAATAAATCTCCGGTGGACAAAAACCTTTTCGAAGTAATTTTCTTCAGTAACTCCTATTCTAAACATTTGCCTACTGATTATTATTTTTTTATGTTTATTTTAAGCCAATTTATTCATTCTGATTAAAAACCTATCNCATTATGGTTGAACCTATGGTCCGGCTCCCTAAATCATCGAAACTCGCAAGCCGATCCACCCACTCTAGTTTGTACCAGAGTTTCGTCAAGGTTCAAGTTCCGTCGGATCGGATTTTAGATAGTATCAAGAAAATAAACTTAATATAATCTAAGTGTCCATGTTTTATTTAATACGAACCGAAAACAAATAATCAAAAAATAGCGCGTAGTTATTCCGCGAGGCTTTTTGACAACACTACACATGTGGATGCAAAGGGTCGGTACTTCGTGAAACTTCCATGATTATATGACCTTCAACAACAACAATCTTACTGTCGCCAAGAAAAGGCTAGATTGCACAGTAAAAGGCTTCAATTATTTCATCTAATGAAGAAATATGATATGATTTTTAAAGAATTGTTGCACGATTTAGTAATTGAAGAAGTTGAACCCTATGGCGATGAACAAATCCATTACCTACCGCACCGACCTGTCATAAAAGAGTTTAGGCATAGAAGAATTGTGTTTGGGGTGTCGATAAGCTCGCCATATGTTTTTACGTAGACAGTTGTCTGAACACTGATTCGAATGAAGCCCCCTTCATAGATTTATTTGATGGATAAGATAAACCTAAGAGGGTGTGAGTATTCCAATTGCACTTCTGTGACAAAAATTGTTCCTGTGTTAGGTCTCATGTGGGATGTTAAAGATGACACGCTAGTTATTAATGAAGAGTCTTTTAATGTTTCGCAGGATATCATCGATGGACCAGTTACAAAGAGGCTAATACGCAGCGCATATTTGTTATCATTGGATTTACATGGCCTATTAGTCTTCAACCAAAAATACTTTTATAACAACTCTAGAAGGATAAAAAGGGCTGGGATGTTCCGCTAGATCATGAATTAATTTAAAAGTTGGGTTATAGAATTTATACAATTTCCCGATGGATGCGTGCCGACAGACGTGATACATATGAAATTTACACGTCCTTTGTACGCCAGCAACAAGGAATATTCTGCAGTTATTTTGTTTAAGAGTGAGACGTGAAGAACAGATATCTATATACCTTGATGCTGCACCATTAAAAGAAATGATAGTACCACAATTGGAACTATTAGGAGCCGCCATAGCTGCTCGATTGTATAATTCTATTAAAGACAATGTCTCGGATGTTCAGGCATATTTTCGGAGCGATTTGTCCACAGTTATCTGATGGATTAAACGATCGATGCGAGGAATGGTCTGTATTTTTCAAAAGCAGAGGAAACGAGATTCGGACCTTAACCGAGAAGGAAAGATGGAACCATCAACTCAGCAGATTTACTCTCAAGAGGGTGTAGTGTGAGTCATCTAATTCAGTCCCGATGGTGGGAGGGACCGACTTGGCTGTATACTAACACATCTAGTTTGCCAAAAGAGGATTATAATGTAGATGAGACACAAATTAATGTTGAGAAAATGCTTAATGCAAATTTCTGCAATCTCAGTTATTTCTCGAGTTATAACAAGACTCAGTAGTTTAAATTAAACGATTTTGCTTCAATGCACGCAACTTCTATAAGTTGCAAAGAACGTTGCTGGTAAACAAACTTAATGCTGCAGAGACATTAGTTCTAAAAATGGTGCAAAGAGAAGCTTTTAAAGAGGATTGGCTTGATTGAAATCTTTCACCGACGAATTTGGACTCGAATAAGTGTCGCAACAGCCTGATGTCCATGATTTCCGGTTCCGTATAGTCATGCCTAGGGAACACCCTGTGGTGAGCACATTAGTTATGAGCGTTCGAAAGGAATCGTATCTTGTAGGGACGCAGGGATTACTTATCCTTTTGAAACAGCGTTTATGGATCTTAGGAGGTCGACATACGAGGGTGGATTGATAAGTTTCCGGCCTGACCAAGAAAAACAAGGTTTTTAAAAATTTTTTTTTTTATTTCTCAACATAATCTCCTCCAAGGCTGATACATTTCTCATAGCGGTGTTCCAGTCTATTAATGCCATCTCTATAGACTGATTCGTCAAGCTCCTCAAAATAACCATTTACAGCTTCGATTAC